TTTAAACCATGCGGGCTGGCAGAATGGACAGTGGTACATACTGCAACATGTGTTGCATTTTTGCAGCTCAGGGACAGATGTCCCTCGTTGTATTGTGACATGCATCTGGAAAATAAAGAGAATGAATTGTGAAATCTACCATGTCAATATAATTCTACAGAAAACTAAGGCCAGAATAATAAAACTATGATTTTTTTTTATTGCTACTGTCAAAAGTATTAGGTATCCCATACGACGTTGGGTGTTTTTCCCAGTGCTTTTTAAAGTCACAAAGAAACGAGGAGGACATTAATATAGAGGTACAGGGAAAATAATGTTCCGTAAAATTCTGCATTAGCACAGATGCGTTTAAATCTAATATTTTAAACTGATCAACATGACTCAATACGCAGTCAATTTTTAATTGAATGCACATATTTTGCGCATTTAGCACTTCTTTGACGGAGCCCAAAGCCCTTTAAAAATGACCAGTATTTACGCATTCACAAACATACATATATCCGAAATTAAATAATTAATGTCAACATCGTTTTGACATTATCATCTAATTCATAAACAACTAGGCGTGCTAAAACATTTCATCCTCACTTGCGCTATATATTCTATCGTCGAGAGAATGTGAGTGTAGCCGGGATTCAAGTTGGCATAAAGTTTTCATTGACGCTCGTCGACTGAATATTACAGTCATAGTTGTTGTCGTGAATTAAAATAACACAACTCCGTTTTATTTTGGGTTGATTTTGCTGTTAAATTATCTTACAATTACAGGGCCTTTTAAACTTTTTAAGATCCACATGCGACTTACTTTGGAATCGGGCATCATCCTTCTGACGTCATATCCGGCGCAAAGTTACTTGCCTAAACCTACCTTTGCCTGAATCGGCCTCCTCCGGGTCTGCAGCTGGACCCTTCTCATTGAAAGGGTATGCGCCGCGCTTGATTCACGGGGCGCTGAAATGTAGGAACCTAAATAAATGAACGTCCTCAATTAATGCTTTCATGCAAATGTGCTGCACATGAAAGTTAAGATAAGAAGATAAGAACACCTTTATTTGTCCCACAATGGAGAAATTTGCGAAACAACAAATGTACTTTAATAGTTGACAACGTACCGTGCGTTTGACTCGAAGGGAAGTTTTACATGTATCGATTCGATACATGATCTGTGATCTGCTAGGATATAAAATCTGTGGTCATCCAAACCTTTCATCACACTGAGTGAGAATAAATATGAAAGATTATAAAATATTGGATTGATGTTGATTTGATTCCTTTTCAAGGTGTTATAATATCGTTATTCTTCGATGTAAAAAAAAACCTTTTATAATAACAAAACACTAATTGTTAAAATAAGACTTTATTTCACATTTTCAGCTCGTGTTGTGCCGCGGGATTTTTTCAGCGACAGAAATATGCCTTGGCTGGAAAAAGACACTGCTGTAGATCATGGCATGTCAACGAAGAGGACCGGTCATGACCGCGGAAGAGAAAGTGAAACGCACCCGATAAAGCCAAGCTGGTTACATCATACGAAACATTCAGGAGACACTTGGAGTCGCAAAGACTCAAATCTACAAGACTTTCTGCCAATTTCCCTGCTCAGAGTGAATCGCTTGCGGCTCCCCAGAGGCGAGGCAATGGAAGGTTTCCAGAATGTTTCCTCGAATGCTTTACCTGTTTTGGTGCGAAAAACCTTCCGCTAACTGCACCGCTAAATCGGGACAATGCGAGCTCCACGGCGCAAACTATGGCCATGGAGGACTTCGAAGCGTCCCGTGGCTGACTTTAGATGTTGGTTGCACGACATCAGCTGAGCAACGCCGTCTTGGGTGGCGATCGAGGGGAGGTCAAGTTTGAGACAGCGAGTAAGTGGAAAGAAAAGCCACCCGGTCTCTTGCGCGTCTCATTTTGCAGCAAACTTTGTTCGGCTATTTGGTTCACATACCTGTACTGGATGCTGCAGCTTTTGTGTCAGAAAACGTTTTTGGGCAACATATGGTTGCAATTTGTTGCTCGTGTTGTCACACGTGTATGTTGGTAACATACAGTACTTGCATGTTCATCAAGGACATGTACCATAGTCGTATCCCACATATGGAAACTCCGTTCTAAGGAAAGATTGGACCCCGCAAATATGATTCGTGATGAGAAAATACTTAGTGTATCGCTCTACTTCTCCTGGTCGGACCACAACCCGTCTGCAGCAATGCAATGGCTGAAATAGGTGATCAACAACACTGTTTTCATGACAAAAAAGGAGATTCATACTTTAATGCCTTTGTTCTGTTCATGTTTGATATGGACCGTCAACGAATGCAGTTTAAAAAAAAAAGGTAGATGTACCGTATCTTGTGCTGACCCGGCCC